TCAAATCTACTTAGCTAATTTCCATATTATACGTATTATCCTTAGTACACAAATTTAACCTGGAACTCGAAAGTCGAAACTACTAGTTCGAATTTTGATTTAGATGCATCAAAGTTCTCAAAAAATATATATCTGCTGAATAATAAATTTAATATATTACATATATTAATTAATTATAATTTAATATATATATGAATAATATTTTTTTTTTATATATTTGAAACTACGAAATAATCAATAATTATTATTAATTACACAAGAATGAAATTACGAAAAACAAAATTATGTTTATATTACCTATATAATTTTAACTTTGAAGACAATTAATCCATAAGCTATAAGCATAATATTATTCAAGTAAACGTTTTTATTCCAACTTTGCCCTCGAAAAACGGGCATTGTGCCCGGTAATCGGGTAGCGTTGCAAAAATTTGAAAAGTACTGCATTGATTCATAATTTTTTTTAACCACATATTTTTTAAACGAGATGCATTGTAAAAAATAACATTGCCCATTGGTAATACACGACACACGTTTTAGTTTACATGGTGTTGAATCGACAAAGTTTGAAATTGTATTTGTCAAAATATACGTCATTGAATAAAATTCAAATGAAACGAGATTTTAACCTTTTCAGATATTCAGAATATTATGAAAATAATATAGTAACTATTTGCTACAGTGCCGGCGCTTGGTATTGTGGGGCCCTGGACATAAGTAATAGGTACCCAGAGTATGAAGGCAAAATTTTAGCTTTTTTAAATCAGGATTTTTTTAAATTAATGCTGTTCTTATTTGAATTTTAAACATTAAAAATAATAATATCAGATTATTCTTTTCCTTTTTTTGTATTATAATGTTTTAACAAAAAATTATTTATAAATAATAAAATAATGGGTTAAAAATTATAAGTTAATAAATTCGTGGGGGACTTATTATTTTATTAATTTATATTTATTTTAATAATTCCAACTTATGAAAACATCAATAAAAAATAAATAAAATCATCAAAATGTTTGAATGATATAATAAATTGTTTAGTACCTAAGTACGCGGCGGCGGTAGACAATATAATATATTAAAACTAATCCTGATACACTACATACACTGAAATTTAATGCTAGCATCCCGAATACCGTGATTATAACTTATATTACTACTACCTTAATATTTCCATAATACCTAATTAAATTTATTAAAAATTCAAAAACATATCTATGTTAAGTCCTTCGACTCTTTCCGGAACACTGCCGGAAAAATCAAAAACCGCGCGCGCGTATACGTTTCGCATCATACCGGCATTAGTCCCCTGACGCGCGTATACGTTTCGCGTCATACCGGCATTAGTCACCTGGCGCTTTCGTTTACTAAGTACGGTTACTTAGAAAGCCCGGTGGTTCTTGGAATTTATCTCGTCGGGTAGTAAATTTTCCTGGCTTTCCGAATATCTATGTTAAGTCCTTCGACTCCTTCCGGAACACTTCGGGAAAAATCAAAAACCGCGCGCGCGTATACGTTTCGCGTCATACCGGCATTAGTCACCTGGCGCTTTCGTTTACTATGTACGGTTACTTAGAAAGCCCGGTGGTTCTTGGAATTTATCTCGTCGGGTAGTAAATTTTCCTGGCTTTCCGAATATCTATGTTAAGTCCTTCGACTCCTTCCGGAACACTGCCGGAAAAATCAAAAACTGCGCGCGCGTATACGTTTCGCGTCATACCGGCATTAGTCACCTGGCGCTTTCGTTTACTATGTACGGTTACTTAGAAAGCCCGGTGGTTCTTGAAATTTATCTCGTCGGGTAGTAAATTTTCCTGGCTTTCCGAATATCTATGTTAGGACCTTCGACTCCTTCCGGAACACTGCCGGAAAAATCAAAAACCACGCGCGCGTATACGTTTCGCGTCATACCGGCATTAGTCACCTGGCGCTTTCGTTTACTAAGTACGGTTACTTAGAAAGCCCGGTGGTTCTTGGAATTTATCTCGTCGGGTTGTAAATTTTCCTGGCTTTCCGAATATCTATGTTAAGTCTTTCGACTCCTTCCGGAACACTTCGGGAAAAATCAAAAACCGCGCGCGCGTATACGTTTCGCGTCATACCGGCATTAGTCACCTGGCGCTTTCGTTTACTATGTACGGTTACTTAGAAAGCCCGGTGGTTCTTGGAATTTATCTCGTCGGGTAGTAAATTTTCCTGGCTTTCCGAATATCTATGTTAAGTCCTTCGACTCCTTCCGGAACACTGCCGGAAAAATCAAAAACTGCGCGCGCGTATACGTTTCGCGTCATACCGGCATTAGTCACCTGGCGCTTTCGTTTACTATGTACGGTTACTTAGAAAGCCCGGTGGTTCTTGAAATTTATCTCGTCGGGTAGTAAATTTTCCTGGCTTTCCGAATATCTATGTTAGGACCTTCGACTCCTTCCGGAACACTGCCGGAAAAATCAAAAACCACGCGCGCGTATACGTTTCGCGTCATACCGGCATTAGTCACCTGGCGCTTTCGTTTACTAAGTACGGTTACTTAGAAAGCCCGGTGGTTCTTGGAATTTATCTCGTCGGGTTGTAAATTTTCCTGGCTTTCCGAATATCTATGTTAAGTCTTTCGACTCCTTCCGGAACACTTCGGGAAAAATCAAAAACCCCGCGCGCCTTTACGTTACGCGTCATACCGGCATTAGTCCCCTGACGCTCGTATACGTTTCGTGTCATACCGGCATTAGTCACCTGGCGCTTTCGTTTACTAAGTACGGTTACTTAGAAAGCCCGGTGGTTCTTGGAATTTATCTCGTCGGGTAGTACATTTTCCTGGCTTTCCGAATATCTATGTTAAGTCCTTCGACTCCTACCGGAACACTGCCGGAAAAATCAAAAACCGCGCGCGCGTATACGTTTCGGGTCATACCGGCATTAGTCACCTGGCGCTTTCGTTTACTATGTACGGTTACTTAGAAAGCCCGGTGGTTCTTGGAATTTATCTCGTCGGGTAGTAAATTTTCCTGGCTTTCCGAATATCTATGTTAAGTCCTTCGACTCCTTCCGGAACACTTCGGGAAAAATCAAAAACCCCGCGCGCCTTTACGTTACGCGTCATACCGGCATTAGTCCCCTGACGCTCGTATACGTTTCGTGTCATACCGGCATTACAAACCTGGCGCTTTCGTTTACTATGTACGGTTACTTAGAAAGCCCGGTGGTTCTTGGAATTTATCTCGTCGGGTAGTAAATTTTCCTGGCTTTCCGAATATCTATGTTAAGTCCTTCGACTCCTTCCGGAACACTTCGGGAAAAATCAAAAACCGCGCGCGCGTATACGTTACGCGTCATACCGGCATTAGTCACCTGGCGCTTTCGTTTACTATGTACGGTTACTTAGAAAGCCCGGTGGTTCTTGGAATTTATCTCGTCGAGTAGTAAATTTTCCTGGCTTTCCGAATATCTATGTTAAGTCCTTCGACTTCTTCCGGAACACTGCCGGAAAAATCAAAAACTGCGCGCGCGTATACGTTTCGCGTCATACCGGCATTAGTCACCTGGCGCTTTCGTTTACTATGTACGGTTACTTAGAAAGCCCGGTGGTTCTTGGAATTTATCTCGTCGGGTAGTAAATTTTCCTGGCTTTCCGAATATCTATGTTAAGTCCTTCGACTCCTTCCGGAACACTGCCGGAAAAATCAAAAACCGCGCGCGCGTATACGTTACGCGTCATACCGGCATTAGTCACCTGGCGCTTTCGTTTACTATGTACGGTTACTTAGAAAGCCCGGTGGTTCTTGGAATTTATCTCGTCGGGTAGTAAATTTTCCTGGCTTTCCGAATATCTATGTTAAGTCCTTCGACTCCTTCCGGAACACTTCGGGAAAAATCAAAAACCGCGCGCGCGTATACGTTTCGGGTCATACCGGCATTAGTCACCTGGCGCTTTCGTTTACTATGTACGGTTACTTAGAAAGCCCGGTGGTTCTTGGAATTTATCTCGTCGGGTAGTAAATTTTCCTGGCTTTCCGAATATCTATGTTAAGTCCTTCGACTCCTTCCGGAACACTTCGGGAAAAATCAAAAACCGCGCGCGCGTATACGTTTCGGGTCATACCGGCATTAGTCACCTGGCGCTTTCGTTTACTAAGTACGGTTACTTAGAAAGCCCGGTGGTTCTTGGAATTTATCTCGTCGGGTAGTAAATTTTCCTGGCTTTCCGAATATCTATGTTAAGTCTTTCGACTCCTTCCGGAACACTTCGGGAAAAATCAAAAACCCCGCGCGCCTTTACGTTACGCGTCATACCGGCATTAGTCCCCTGACGCTCGTATACGTTTCGTGTCATACCGGCATTAGTCACCTGGCGCTTTCGTTTACTATGTACGGTTACTTAGAAAGCCCGGTGGTTCTTGGAATTTATCTCGTCGGGTAGTAAATTTTCCTGGCTTTCCGAATATCTATGTTAGGACCTTCGACTCCTTCAAGAACACTGCCGGAAAAATGAATAACCACGCGCGCGTATACGTTACGCGTCGTATACTCGTATGGCTGTTATGTATAGTGCTATGGCCTGGCTTTGCGGCGTCATTTTACAATACTATGATGGGTAGGTGACCCTATAATATTTCGTAACAATTTCTTTACTGCTATCTTGTGGTTAGAAATAGAAGTAGACATACAAACGGCAATATAAACGTTGTGCGCCTAGAAAATACTGTAATGCAACCGAGCATACAAGGTTTCTTATCAGTAAAAATTGGTCACCTAGCTTTGGTCACCCAACTTCACACTCGTGATTTTGAAAGGTACTATAATAGTATTTAACTATTTAATAGTATAATATAATATTATAGTCTCAACTTTCAAAGTCGTAATCATAAAAACCCAATTTAGCTTAGATAATTAGTTTATACTTTTAACTGTTTTATGGTTGCAAACTCCCAGTCAAGGCATCTATTCGTTATATATTTTGTGTCCGTTGATTTAATGTGTAACAACTTTACTAGCAGTTAGTAAAAATGACTGAGCCAGTTGTAAAAGACAGTTCCAAACCGACGGAAGTAAAAAACCTAGTAAAAAATGCAACGGATTTACAACGTTTAAAACTTGAAAGACTCATGAAAAATCCGGTTAGTACAACCCAACTTTTTATCACCCGGTATCCTTTTTGCTAGAAATCTGTTAAGGAAACTCAATTAAGTGAAATTCAGTTATGATAAACTCTGCTAGGGTGTACTAAGTACTTAATTTTCTGAGAAATTCAGAACATTAATAACCCAGCAGCACACTATATATTATAGAGCTCAGAGTAATTCGGTTCAAGTGTACCTATACGCCTCAAATCCCGTTTAATTGGTGCTTTGTGGTCGAATATTGGTATATGCAATCACAGCCTGTGCATGTATGTTTTTTGAATATCTATAGGCTATAGTGAAGTGTAAAGTTTACTACTGGTAAAATTTACCAATTATATTTGTTTGGCTGTTAATAATTATGATTTATGAGTTTGGATAACATTGAGGAGGAGTTGATTAATTTTCCATAAATTCAGATATTTGTGTTGGTATACAATAGTAAATACGATTTAAGAGTAATGTTGATGATGCTTAAAAAAAATTATAATACTCCTATAATTGTGATTATTTTTATTTGCACAATTATTTAACTAATGCTTGAACTAATATAATTACAATAAACCTGCTTAGGATAAACCTGTTTATATACCCGAGCCTCGATCTGACAAAAAATCTCCTCACGTTCCCGAATTTGTGAGGAATGTTATGGGATCAAGTGCTGGAGCTGGCAGTGGTGAGTTTCATGTTTATCGGCACTTAAGACGTAAAGAATATGCTAGACAAAAACACATACAAGTAAAAGCAGAAAAGGTAAATAATTTTATGAAAACAATTTTGAATTTGATACAGGTATTAATATTTGTTTAATTTTATTAAAAAGGAACTTTTGGAAGAAGCGTACCGTCAAAAAATATTAGAAAACAAACAAATGGCTGAAGGGCGTACAGCTAAGAAAAGAGCAAAGAGATTAAAGAGAAAAAAAGTTTTAAGAGAAAAATCTAAGATGTCCAAGAAAAATAATACTGCAGACAGTGTTAGTGAAAATGACTCTACTAGTGATGACGATGATAAAAATACAACCGAGGCATAAAGTAACACAATATTGTATTAAGAAAAATATTAATGTAAAAATATGTAAATAATAATTATTCAATTAATAGTAAAAAAATACTTTTTATTATACCAGTTGTTTTTTGTTTTATAAATCATGCACTAGACGATATATTAAAAACTTCTAAGAATATTTTATTATATTTTATATTAGTGGCGTATTTAGGAATTTTGCTAGGGGGGATGAAATATATAAAAATAGGTACACCCATAAATATGTGCATAGTATACATTTTTCAAATCCCCTAACTTGTTGAGTTTAGTGTGGATCAAGGCGAAATAAGAATTAACACAAATTGTATAGTACCTACTAGCATTTATTTTAAATTTATACTAACGCCAATCCAGTGTTTAAAACGAAAAAAAAATAGTTATAATACAAAATCCAGTTTTCTATTTTTTTGGATGCTCAGTTCATTGATAACCTCATCTGGCATGATTATTGTATTTACCGGTGACATGCCAATAAAGCCAACACATTAAGGGCCAGTATTACAATGGGGAATAGTAAGTTCCTACACGAGAGTAGCAGGTAAACAATTACATACCTTAGTTTCCACACGGACATATGTAAGTTCCTATACAGTAAAAATCAGGTACGTATGTTAGTTCCTATACGGCAGAAAAGGTTAAGTTAGTATATACAAATATAAAAAAATTAATATATGCTGATTAAAATATATAATAAAAATCACTTAATGCAAAATTTTATATTTTAAGAGGTTTATTTCTATAACTTAATAATTTTAACATAATCGTTACATAGTTTAATAGTTAAAATAATGTTAAACCGTGGAATTCGACCGGTAAAACCACTGGGTTAAGCGTAACCGAGGTTTAAACTATGATTGTAAAACCCTTGAAGTCGGTTCTAATAAACAAAGTATAAAATAATTACTACTTAATTTATAGTTATTATTTAATTTTTTTTTTTTTGTTGAACAAAATTTTATTTATATTCTGTAATTACAATATATATTACAATAAGTAAATGGGATGGGGTTGATTAGTGGGATGGGGAAGTCACTCATTGGTGGCACCCCAAATTATTTAATATTAGATAGGAAAATTGATAAAATATTTACTTCTGTCATACTATTTACTAGGTAAGACTTAATACTTAATAAAAACTTCAAAAGCATCGTTCAGGTGTAGCATTTGATACAGGCAAAGTACAAAATATTTTCAAGAGTTCATGATTGGATACAACTCTTTATCATAAACATCTAAACTCTAAAGCATATAACAAGGCCAGAGGTGAATACAATTTTTTCAGTCACTAACTACACTACAGTCACTAAAAAGAAACCCACGCCCTATGGTAAATCTACCGTCTTCATGATAATTTTGTTTTATTTACCGACTATTTATCGGGTTTATTATAAACACTCAAGCATGAAAAATAATTCGCAGAAAATTAAAAAATACAGTACACCATACTACCATAGAGGTATATGTTTTTGTTGTCCAATAGTCACATATATGCCGTATACGACTATAGTGGCGTATAGTATATCATAGGGGTAAAATTACCACGGCTACAACATTTAGAAAACAGACATACTTAAAAGTAATATCATATTGAGAAATACAAAAAAATAAGAAAACTTAACTTTAAAAAAAAAAAATGCCAAGGGAGGATCTATCCCCCCCCCCATAAATATGCCACTGATTCATATTGCTATTGGTAAATTTTGTTTCTAATACGGTGGGTTTTGGCTGAACTAATTTTTGTCAAAAACAAATCTCATATGTATATATCGGTAATTATTATGTTACCAGCTATTATTAACTTAAGTCAATACTGACATACCATATAATTATGTGAATAGATAAATTAATGGTATAAATAGTTTAAGAGAATGTCAGCACACAGTCTATTTTTACTCTGGTCCACGGATAACATTGATAAAAATGCATTCTTGTAAAATTATTTTTGAGTAATCTTAGAGTAAAATTACTCAATACTAATAGAGAACACAATTTTACATATACATTTATCTAAATATTGTCTCAAAACCATTTAATATCTATTTTAATTTACAAAAATGTTCTATTATTTTGTCAAGTGCCCTCCCCCCAAACAACAAACTAAATCCATTTGTTCCCAGAAATCACACTCAATGATAAAATTGCAAAGTTTGCAAACACAAGCATTTAAATTTTTTTAATACATATTATAAAACCAATATATTCATCGCTAAGCTCAGAACTTAAAATTATATGCACATATTGCTGTAGTGAGATCTGACGATTTTCATTAGGTATGTATAAATATTTTTATTACATTAATTGGTACTTCCGTGTTATCTCGACTACTTTAGATTCACAACCGTGTTATCTCGACTACCAAAATATTTTTATTTAATTTTATTTGAACTTTATATTTTTTATTAATCAATATTGTTATGAATACCAGAATACATTTATATTTGTTAAGCACTAGCATTGTTTTCCAAACAATTCTGCAATATTTCTTTAACAGTTAGTTCGACCTGTTGAGCAAATAATTTATTAGCCACAGCAATATCTGTGCGTTCGTCAAAGATATCTGGTTTAGGAACTCGACGCATTCTGAGTTTTGGTCCCTCCATTTCTTCAGTCCTTTGAGCTGCAGCAGGCAGTAAAAATATATCTGAACGCACAGATGTAACTGACACGCACATGCGACCCAATTGATTTAAAAATGTTATACAGTCTTCACTAAGGGTAGGAAATACTTGACATATTCTGACTAATGCTGGTAGCGTAGGCATATACAGTTCACGGCGATCTTCTTGTGTCAACACTGTAATAAAACAGTGATCGTTATTAATCATTCAAAAATGTAATAAGACCATAATTCTACGTTTTTGATATTACCAGACAGAAAAGTGTACATTGTATTAATGGCTAAACGTGCTAAGCTTAACGATTTTGGCAATGGATACTGTTGGGAAATATTTGAAATAAGATCAATGGAAAATATCTGTTTCTGGAAATCTGGTTGACTGAGAAGTTCCGCGATGAAATCTAGACAAATGTGCATGGATGGAATTCCTAAACAGGTAACTGGAAGTAATTCTCTAGGATATCCCTGAAATAATAAAAAAAAATTTAATAAAACATTAGTTATGCTACTTATGGTAAAATATTTAGTACTGTATAATAAATAAAAATTTAAATATACCTGGAAGTGAACTAATTTTGCAAGTGGAGGATCCGCAATAAACATTTGATGTAAAAATGAACAAACAACACCTCGTACTTCTCTCAATGTCATCATGTTAGAAAATGATTTCTTTGGAATAAATAAAAAACTTAATTAGTTAATTGCTGTATACTACCATAAAGGATGTTCTTTAAATATAGAATCACATATTATTTGAATATGAAATGGAGGAATAATTTTATTACTCAGCATCATACATACATTTTCAGTGATATCTTACTTTTAAAATAAATTTTAAAAAGGAATTAGGTACAAATAAAATACACTGACAATAAATATATAGCACTTTTTGAAATGTTAACCTAGGTGGCTAGGTAGCTTGATACAAGTTAAAATTAAAATCTTATATTTTAAATTTTTAACAGATAATATATTTTGGAATTTTCCAACACTGAGATCTGATCTTAGCTTACTCAAATGTTATTAGGATTCTATTAAAATCAAGAATTCCCCAACTATCGTAAAATAATTTTTTTTTGCTAAATGTAAAAAACATGAAAACAAATTATTTTAAGACTTGGTCAAAATCTAAAATTACATATTTTGCACACTTAAATATTTACCAGAACTGATAGTTTAGTTTTTGCATATAATTTTGAACTTATCAATAAAGTTGGTGTCAATAAATTTAAATTACTGAAATTAACAAGAGTATTAACAAGAGTATTCTATTCAAAATAAGTTAATGTTATCCGGGTGGCTATCATGTTATATTATTATGTATGCATCTATTTATTGTGTAATAAAGCCAAGACCAGGCACACTAGTCGACTGGTGGGGTTGCTTCTTAATTTGAATCCCTATTAGTAAAAGTATAAGTAAATAAGCTTACTTGATCATCTTCAGTTTCCAAACAAGCCTCTAATAAAAGTTGCACTGCAGCACTGTCTTGTGCAGCTGTCAACACGTTTTTATATTCTTCACGATTATTAGTTTGAGTTAACGGTCCAGTCGCAAATAATTTTTGATTAACTAGACGAGATAAATGACTTCTTGAAGCTGCTAATGATGATTGCAACACTCGGATTACAATACTCAAAACTGTTGGACACCTGAATAAATGACAATTATTAAACAATTGTAGTAAAACTTAATTTATATTTTACCTATAAACTCTGGCATCACATTGCAAAACTTGTAAAGGATCCTGAATTAAATTTTCCTCTTTCAATGCACTTACTCCATTGTTATGTTGTAAAGCCTTAATAGTAAGTGCCCACAAACTACGAGGCAAGACTGTATTAAGTCTTAACCAAACCTTTTTGTATAGTTCTGAAAATAAAAATTATTCAATACTATTCTTTCTTTAATTTGTGTAGGGCGCTTTTGACAGGGATTATGTATACAGGGGTTTGGTGCACATTTGAACGGCAACCTAATACTACTCGGCCAGACAGACTCATTTTTCTTCTTAAATTCACAATAATCAACAATAATTTACCTTGTATATACCTAGAAACATTAGAATCCAAAGTGTTTGGTAGGAATTTTAATATGGTGGGTGCAAATGGCCAAATTTTAATTGGACGTTCCGCATACAATCTTTTCAATACGATTCCAGCTCTTTCAGGACGTTCAACCATCATGCTTAAACCTAAAACCGTGTTCAATTTAAAAATCAAGTTCGCAAATTAAAAATAAATTATTTTACAATACCGCTTTCTATCATTTCCGTAGTAATGTTTTTAGCTTTGTGTTGCAATACAAATTGACTTTCTGAAGTTGTATCTTCCATCCAGTCGTCCACTAGAGACAAATGAGGGAAATGT